TACTTAAAAATGCAAAATTGTTAGCTTTGGAAGGTATGAATATGGGATCAGGATGGCACTCGTATTTATGTTATGATAGAGCTACACCAAGTAATAGATTTAACAAACATCATATAAGGAAAGGACTTTACAGGATTTGGCAAAAATATAAAAAACATATATATACTAAACTACCACTTTGGACATCACCACAGGAAGTGTACCATAGTAAGGAATATCATACAAAAGGAAACTGGGTTACCTATGCAAATCTGTTGATTAAATCTTCAACTGGGTTCAGATTAAAAACTAGAGAAGAGTGCCAGCAAGAAAGAATAGATATAAATTGGTTAAGGTATATACAAATAAAAGAAGATTTTAAAAAAGGATACTGAGAAATATGGAATTGAAGAGGAAATAAAAATATTTGATAAAAATCTTGAAAGACGAAGAGAAACAATGGATAAAAAAGACATACAAATGGCTATTAGAGCTAAAAATGGGTGAAGAAGTGGTGAAAAAATATGATATTATGGATGCAGGATATTGGTAATACAATATCCCTAGAAAGCTGGGAAAATGCATTGATAAATAATAATAAATTTACTAGATGTAACATATTAAAAGAAAATTTTCACAAAATATTTCATAGGTGGTATATGACTCCGGTCAGACTAGCTAAGATAAATAAGCACAATGAAAACAAATGTTGGAAATGTAAAGAAGGGATTGGAACTATGTACCACATGTGGTGGAAAGGTAATAAAAGCAAAGAATTTTGGGAGGAAGTTCACAAAATAATGTGTAAAGTAACACAAAAGAAAATCCCACTTAAACCGGAATTGTTTCTCTTAAATATAACTGATCTGTTGGAATATAAACTGAAGCAAGAGGAAAAGAGTGTCATATTATATATGGTAACAGCTGCAAGATTGGTATTGGCAAAACATTGGAAATCTGATACAATACCTATAGTACAGGAATGGAAAAAGAAATTGAATGAACTGATATGTATGGATAAATTGTCTATGTATATAGCAGGAAGAACATTCCAACAATACGAAAGTAAATGGGAATTAATTAAACTTGATTGATTTAGTTGGTATTAAAGTATAGGGGAAAGTTAAATATATGAATTTAAAGCTATATTGGACACAATACAGGATATAAAGCTTAGTATTTATATATGTAAGAAATGATATTCATGTAACCCTCTTATTTTGTAATAGTATGTATAAATTTATTAAAACTATAATAAAAATAATGAGAAAAAAAAGTGTCACAGAAGGCTATAGTTGGTTCTACTAGAGAGTTCTGGGTGAGAGGTATTTGTGTTAGATCCCTAACCACCCTGAACAGCTCTGCTGGATGAGACTTCGCAGACACAATAGAAGCAGAATAGAAAGACTTCTTAACTGTCTCTGTTGCCACTCAATAGGCTTTAAGAAAAGTCCTATGATGTGTTTTGTCGGATAAGAGTCAAGTTTTCTGCCAGCCACGTTCTAGTTGTTATCCAGTCCGCTTCATTTGCCTAAGATCTTTTGTATACCAGGGATTATGATTTGAAGCGGACTGGAAAGGATGCTTGGGAACGATTGTGTCGATAGCTCTGATAAGATCGTTGTTCCAAGTGTCCACCAGAGCTTCGACAGAGTTGCCGGCATTGCCAACAATAAAACTCTCTAGGGCTTCTTGGAAGCTGATAGGTTCTATCAGCCTGTGAGGGCGGACCATTCTAATAGGTCCTCCACCCCCGATGGGAATAGTGGCCTTTAGCCCAACCTTGAGCAGGAAATGATCTGTCCATGACAATGCGAAGATGTTAACTACCTCCACCCATGCATATACCTGTTCCGTGCAAAAGTCCACATCGAGGGTATGATCTGCACAATGTGTGGGCTCAGAGACTATCTGGGGGAGGCCCATGTTTGTCATGGAGACCATGAACTACCAAGCTGCGCTGGTTAAGTTTGTTAAACTGGCCTCGAGGGGGATATTGAGGTCACCCAGGACTAACAACCTGGATGACTCCAACAGCAGGTCCGAGACCATTTGTGTCAGCTCAGCCAGGGAGTCCGTTAGGCAACGGGGTGGACGGTATACCAACAGAATCCCTAGACTATTCCTAGTCTTCAGGCAAATACACTCAACGTGGTCCATTTTATGGATAGGTATCCTGGCCAAAGTGAGATTACTCATGAGGACTATAGCCATTCCCTCGCCCATGTTCCCTAATCTGCTCATTGACGGAGTACCCAACCAGTAAGGCCTGGGCCAAAGTTACAGAGCTATCTGCTTCTAGCCAGGCCTCCGTAATACATGCCAGGTCAGCTTCTTGGTCCACCAAAAGATTGTGGATAATATGGGACTTATTCTTTACCGACCTGGCATTACACAAGAGCATGGTTAGGTTCAGTGGCTGGTTAGGCCTGCTCTCTAGCTCCTTTGGGGTAACAGGGTGAGCTGAAGATGGGATGGATATCAAACATCAATCCCATATTCCTCTGTTACGACATTTCACCCTGTTAACGCTGTATCTTCTGTTAGCCCACACAACTAGTATAGCTGCACCCTTCTCAACGTCTATCATCGCCTCAAACCATTCTGTCTAGGACATATGCGGATAAAAATTCTGTTATGCCAGATTAATCAAGGGGGCATGGGATCCTGGACGCTACTCCAGATCACGGTCTGCATCTGGAACCACTGCATCGACAACAAGATACTGCTGCAGTCAGTACACCTGCCTGGAGAGAGCAACAATCTGGCAGACAAGTTCAGCAGGTCCTCCAACCCCTGCCACAATTGGTGCCTCCATTCGGAGACAGTCTCTAACTTCTTATCCATCTAGGGCAGGCCAGAGGTCGACCTATTCACAACTCCGCAGAACTCACATTGTACAGAGTTCTGCTCTTGAGTTTGAGCCCTAGGGTTGCGAGGAGATGCCTTCCAGTTCGAGAGGTCCGGGAGAATGTCTTATGCCTTACCCCCATTTCCACTCATCATGAAGGTCATCCTCAAGATGAGGATGGACAGGACGGACACCCTCTTCATCATTCCATGGTAGCTGAGACAGGTGTGGTTTGCTCCCCTACTCCACCTTGCTCAGAAGGAATGCCACCGCCTCGAGTTCCATCCCGACCTCCTCTTGATGCACAATGGTCAGGTTCAACACTCGGACATGGATTCACTTCCCCTGGTGGCATGGAGAATCTATCCATAACAATGCTACCTACCTCGGTGCAGACTGTAATCTGGGCTGCTCAGAAGCCCTCTACTAGAAAGTTTTATTCACTTAAATGGAATAAGTTTCGGGACTTTTTATCAGCGAGAAATCTACCTCCATCCCGTGTCTCAGTACCAACTGTTCTGGAGTTTTTGATGTCGCTAGTCAACTCAGAGTTATGCCTTAACTCCGCCAGTGCTATTTGCCTGCCATCTGCTTGCACTACCAGCTCAAAGGCATACCTTCTTTCTTTATGGACCCATTGGGAAAGAGATTCCTCAAAGGTCTCAACAATCTTTATCCTCCATCCTTGGTACCGCCCCTGCCATGGAGTCTGGATTTGGTGCTTACCTGTAATGGTATTTCTTGGAGTGGTCATCTACAAATTCACACAAATGACACCCATCCTCCCCTCAGTCATGTCCTGCTCATTATTAAAGTGCTGCTGTTGCATTTTGGAACTGAGGAAAGAGTGGGAAAGCCAGGGGTTTTATGGGGTGGATGGAGCTACCACCAAAAGGTTGCAATCGAAGATTTGCCCAGTGATACTAGAACTTTCTGAGCTAGCTGCGAAGGCGCAGATATAACCTATGAGGCTGGGTGTTATCAATATGCTGATGACACCCAAATATATTTCTCCATGTCTCGGTCAGCTGCTATGATGGCAGATAGCAGTTCTCCCCTCAATCAATGTCTCGGAGCGGTAATGGACTGGATGGGAGGAAAAACGGACTCAAGCTGAATCCAGACAAAATGGAGGTACTTACAGTAGGGGCCCGCAAACCAGCTATTGGGTTGCAACCTCCAGTCCTGGACGGGGTGATGCTCTCTGCCAAGGACTGTGTTTGGGGGTGCTGCTGGACTCGTCGCTTCACATGACAGATCAGGTGAACATGACAGTCAGGTGCGCCTGTTATCAGCTTCAGCTGATACTCCAGCTGCGCCCTTTCCTGGAAGTAAGGGACCTAGAAACTAGTGCATGCACTGGTAATCTCACGACTCAACTTCTGCAATGCACTCTACATGGGGCTACCCTTATACCTAACTTGGAAACTACAACTAGTACAAAATATGGTAGCCAGGCTGATCACTGGAACATCGAGTGATCATATTGCATCTATGTTAAGATCTCTCCACTGGCTGCCTATTGGGTTTCCGAGCCCAGTATGAGGTGTTGGTGATGACCTTTAAAGCTTTACATGGCCTGGATCCAACCTACCTAGGGGATCACCTTCTCCCATATAATCCGCCCCACGCCCTCAGGTCATCTGGGAGGAAGCTACTTCAACTGACGAAAACTAGGCTGGCAGCAACCTCCCAGAGGACATTTTCCGCTACCGCGCCCAGACTCTGGAACGCCTTGGAAGAAGAGATCCGTTAGATAACCAACTTAGGTGGCTTTAAAAAAGCCATCAAGACGGATCTCTTCTGGCAGGCCTACCCAGAATAAAGCTACTCATTTATCTTAACCTCTCCCCGTTAAACATTCTCTTATATCCGCGCCTTACCCAGAGAGTTTACTGAAAGTTATTGTTTTTAATTTGTTTATTATTTAACTTTAGTTTGTAACAAGACTTGTATTTAATTTATTTTTAAGGGGGGGTTAATAGTGTTAGTTTATTGTTTTGTAAGCCATGTATTGATTTTAGATGTAAGCTGCCTTGATGGCTACGGCAAAAGGCGGGGTATAAATAAATAAATAATGATAATAGTTATTATTATTATTATTATTTGTGTGAATTTGCAGATGACCGCTCAAAGAAATACTGTTACACGTGAGCAGCCTGTCCTTCCATGGCAAAGCGGGGATTTGAACCCTGGCCTCCAGAGTTGTCTTCCAATGCTGAAACCACTGCACCACACTGTCCCTTGCATTTAGCTTTAGATTTCACATATTCTTTTGTCCTTGGTTTTATCCTGTCCAGGGAAATAGCCTTCACAGATGGACCTATGTAGACATGCTCTGTACCCCCTTAGACAAAAGAGACACTCAGAGGCCACTGTGCATTCAAAGTAGGTTTTATTTGTCATAATCTGCTGCTTCAAATCCCATTTCCACCCAGTCCTTCAGCTCAAGGACACAGGACAGGGCCTTGTAGAGGACAAAGAACACCACAGGGCTGCTGTCGCCACTGTCCAATAGGTCCTGAACTTCTTAGTACTTCCTGGCCACCTGTGGAGAGAGGAAGAAAGTAAGGAGATAGGTAGTAGGTAGGTCCTAGGGTAGCTGGGATGGTATCGTCCCAACACCTAGCCATAGAATGCTAGAGCTGGAAGAGACCCCAGGGCCATCCCTTCGGCCATGCAGGAGTACACAGAATCCTAGAGTTGGAAGGGACCCCCATGGGTCATCCAGTCCAACCTCATTCTGCCATGTAGGAACTCACAATCAAATCATCCCCGACAGATGACTGTTCAGCCTTTGTTTAAAGAACAAAAGCTGGACAACTATCTGTCGGGGATGCTTTGATTGAGAAGGAAGGAAGGAAGAACAGGACCCAGAGCAATGGGTGCAAATGACAGGAAAAGAGATTCCACCTCAACATTAGGAGGAACTTCCTGGTGGTAAGAGCTGTTCAACAGTGGAACTCACTCCCTCAGAGAGTGGTGGAGTCTCCCTCTTTGAAGGTCTTTAAACAGAGGCTGGATGGTCATCTGTCTCAGGGGGTGCTTTGACTGTATCTTCCTGCATGGCCAAAGGGGGTTGGATTGGATGGCCCTTGGGGGCTCTTCCAACTCTGTGATTCTATATTGAAGAGTATTGGACTCGGGACAGAATCCTGTGGCACTAACTAGTCACTTCCCTTCCGGATTGGGATGAGCCTTTTGGGTTCGTCAGCCAATTACAAATCCACCTAACAGTTGCATTGTCCAGCCCACATTTTACTACTTTTTTGCAAGACTTTATAGCCATAGCCATGATAGGCTGGAAAATTAGTATACAAAGGGATTTTATACCACCTTTGAGGCTAACTGAAAGAAAGAAGCTGGTAGCATGAGATTTTTTGTAGACTTGAGCCTACTCTTCCTCATTCCTCATTGCCTCCAGGAAAGGCAATGCAAAACCTCCTCTGGACAAATCTTGCCAAGAAAACCCTATGATAGGTTCACCTTTAAAATAGCCATAAGTCAGAAACAACTTGAAGGATACAGCGCATGGGCATGTCACTAAGAGGGTGCCAGCCATGTTCTAATGTGCAAAATCTTAAGAAGTTGAAGACTTTCTTGGCCAGCATCCATAGTTTTCTGTGGGTTTTCTGGGCTATGTGGCTACATTCCGGAAGAATTGTTCCAGAATGTGTCTGCATAGCCTGGAAAACTGACAGAAAACTAAAATCTTAAGAGTTGGGAGGGATCACAAAGAACATCTAGTCCAAGAATGCCTGCCTCTCTAAGCCATTTTTCATAAGTCTTGGTTTCCAGACTTTTGACCATCTTGGGCACCCTTCCCTGGACATATTCCAGCTTGCTGATATCTTTCTTGAACTGTGATGCCCAGAAGTGATCACAGGATTCCAGTGAAATCTGGCAAAAGTGGAACATAGTGGCTCTGCTGTTTCGTTTGATGCAGCCTAAAATTGCATTGGGTTTTGTGGCTGCTGCATCACACTCCTGAGTCACGTTTAACTTGTGAGCTACCATTGTTGTGTGCCTTCAAGTCATTTCTGACTCATGGCAACCCTACAGCTATTAAGGGGATTTTCTTAACGAATTTGCTCAGAAGAGGTTTGCCTTTACCTTCCCCTGAGGCTGAGAAAGTGTGACTTACATAAAGTCACCCAGTGGTTTTCCACTCAGAAGAGGTTTGCCTTTACCTTTCTCTGCAGCTGAGAAAGTGTGACCCAGTGGTTTTCCACAGCTGAGGAGGGATGTGAACCCTGGTCTCCAGAGCCACACAGTCCAAAATTCAAACCATTATGCCATGCTGGCTGTCTACCTATGGTTGCCGTATCCCAGTTTTAGCCGGGACATTCACAATTTTTGACCATTGCTGAATGTCCCGGCCCAGGTTTGGCACATGTCTCGTAAACCAACCAGGACAGGCCTTGCTTTTTGGGGCTTCCTCAGCCGCCACCACTGCCTCTCTTCCGTGCTTTTGGAGGAACATTTATTACTGTTATTTATTTTATTAATGTTTTGGGGTTTTCGTTGGTCATGTCCTCTATTTTTCTTGAATGCCCTACATTTTGTCCTACATTCCCCCCCTGGTTTTGCGGTAGAGAATTATAGCAACCCTATGCCTACTGCCTATATTCCTAGCCAAATTTATTTTGTTCTCCTTCCCCTTAAGGTGCCATCTGTCAAAGCCATTTCCAATTCTTCTCCCAAGTTCCAGACTGAATCATCCCTTCTCTTGGTTCACTGAAATCAAGTAAGGCTGCATCTGCACTGCAGAAATGATGCAGTTTGACACCGCTTCCGTGCCATCCGATGATGGTGCCCTAGGGTTTGCAGTTTGGTGAGGGACCAGAGTTCCCTGACAGGAGAGGCTAAAGGTCTTAGAGAACTCCAAATCCCGGACCTCCCTAGCCTGGAACCATTGCAATTAGAGGTGAGAAGGTGTCCTCTTTTTTCTGGTCCTATCCTCCATTCCAGCCTCCCAAATGTCCTCCTAAGAAGGGGGACCTTCCCTCCAGAGGAGTGTTTTGAGCTTTCTTTTGGTGTCCTGCATTTGGTGGTACGCATTTTCCGTACGTGCCCTGCATTTGGTGGTAACTGGTCCCTCTGCCCTTAGAGCAGTGTCAAAGTGCATCCTATCTGCCTGCAGACACAGCCCATGCCCACCCTGAAGGGTCCCTGCGTTCTCTCTCCCTTTCCCTGAAGGTGCAAGGGAGTGAGGCAGGCACTTCTCTGGGAGATGGATCCCTTCCCGAATCCCTTGGGACCTCCATCCCTCCCTTGCAGACGGTGCAGTGGGGCTCACTTGTTCAGAGTGGCGCTGGTACTGGTTCTGGCCCTTGCTCTGGCCCTGGTTCTGGCCTTGGTTCTGGCCCTGGTTCTGGCCTTGGT